TCGATCGTACCTTCTTATTTGTACTCGCTTGAACTAGTTGTTTCTCATTTCAATTATCGCATTTCTCGCGTGGTTAAATAAGAAAGAAATAATTGTGAAAAAATCGAATTGTTCCCTTTGTTGTAACTTTTCTTGTAATTTTACGTTCCCCAACCAAAAATGTACATTTCTTTTTCCGCGGAATTGTAAAATATAATAATACTCCTCTCAGCTATACCGACGTTGTATTATTTCGCCTCGATGAATTGAATATTTTCTGAAATTGCATCACATCGAATTAATTTTGAAATATGATAGAATCGACGAGAGAGTATCGAGAGGATCGCATCATGTAAATTGGGTCTAGCCAATGATAGAGTAAGATCTATTATTTTGACAGATGTAATTTCTGCTCGTTTTCCAGACAGTTTGGTCGGTCGTCTCCCGGAAAATGCAGCCACGGATTGCGGTCACCGTGTAAAATAAATAATCCCCAGAGTTTCTCTTCCGTTTCTCGTTCCGTTCCGCTTCGCGTGTCCCGTGTCTGTTACGTTTTTTTACCGTGATACCGTCATCTCGTTACATCGTTCACGTTTATCCGCCCTCTCTTTCATACGTCCCAGGGTGTAATATGCCTTCTTTGAAAAGTTGTTTGCTCGTCGTAGAAAAATATTTTCACGACTGTAAAAGAATTATCCTCGTTCGAAGGTAGGAAGAAACGATTAAATAGATTTAGCTTTTTGACGACACGATTTCGTGCAATAGATTTTTACATCAGCTCTATTTAAAAAATCTCTATCTCTTTTTATGAAATATTCATACCACTATTACTGATTCGATCGTGATTTAAAACGATGCTTTCTCGAGTTTTCGAAGAAAATCGTTAAAGAAACGAAAAATTTTGAAACATTTTCGAAAACTGATGAAACTTGCACGATTATTTACCGCATAAGTCACCGGCAGTTATTGCACAGTTCGTAATCTTGTCGTCTTCTTGTTTTCTACAACCATTTCTCGAAATTTGATTATATATACGTTGCGTGCAACTTGCCTGCATGAATAATTGATTTCTCATCGTTACATCGTTAGATCTGCTGACGATTAGATTTCGCCCGCTAAAATTGAAATTATCACGACAATTTAAATCGTATTAGAATTCGTTTATTAATTCACCGCTCTCTCCTATCATCTCGCGTAAATTATAATATTTTTCTTTTTTATCTAAATGCTTGTTTATTCGATGATAAAAAAAAAAAATCTAAAAATTGGTATCACAGATATATAAAAGGACTCGTATAAAAGGTACGGTGATGATAAATTGGTTAAAATTGCTCGATTTTCTCCGTCGTTATACGCGAGGAGAAGAATTTTTCCAATTTTTAGTTCTTACTTTCTCGTTCGAAAGGGTGCGATTCATTTTCAATACTCGAAGATTAAACCAAAGTTGCGAAAAGTTTCAGAAGCTGGCACTTTTCCAATAATCAGGGTATTTATACTTAAAACGAAAAATAGAGGCTCGAGCTAAGTAAAGTATCTTAAACTTTTTTATGCTTCGCGAAATCCTGCAACACGTTCGAATCCAATCACGATACTTCTTTCTAATACTTTTCCATTTACGATATAAAATAAAAAATCAAAATGGAGGTTTCGATTTTTCTGCGTATAAGATCCGTAAAATTCGTATCGAGGTTGACTCGTTTAACCAAATATTTCGATCATCCTTTCATCATTCGATCGATATTGCAATAAATCTTATTCCCTGGTTTTAGTGCTTATTAGTTGGGAAGTGTGTTCATTATCTCGAAACAGGTGAGAGTCCAACTCATTGTCAGGCATAACGATGTCATTGTGGACAAGTTTCTTGGTCTAAGACCTTGTCAAACTTGGACGTGTTCCCAATGAGTTCCTCGAATTCTCGAAACGTTGAAGCAAATTCCAATTCCCAAGACTCGTATTATCTCGTGTTTGATCTCGTTAACTAGAATCAACTGGATAAACATATCGAATTTTTTTTAAAAATAAACGTGTCATTTTGTATATTTTTTTTTTTTACACGTAAAAACGAAAGAATCGATGTATCATCCGTTGAAAGGGATGAATTTTCATTTTTCTTTTTTTTTTTTTCAAATATATCGTAACGTATAAAAAGTAATAGCTCTCGAGAAAAATATTGCAACAACCAAGTCGTTTCTCTTTAAAAAAAAAAAGGGGGGGAAAAAATATCTGTTCACGACGTATATCACGCTGGTGAATCAATAACTTTCAAGACTTCTGCACCAGCTTTTTGCGCTAACACATTTACGAAGTCTGTTGCGCGGCTTTAATCGAGAAAATCTGCATAAATATGCATGGCATCTCATATGCATTCAGCTTGCATTAAGAAAATCGGATATGAATATGCGTCCCTCGACAAACGTTAAGTTTCTTCAACATCTCTGATTAACTCGCAGATCCTTTTAATCTAACGATAATGGCCGCCGTGGACGCGACCACCATTTTCGAAAAATTATATTTTCGAAAAATCTCTCTGCCGAAGCAACGAATAATGAAACTGAAAAAAAATCGCGTCTTCTTCTCAAAAAAATTTCCATTCGTTTCACGCTTGTCGAATGTCGCAGATTGTTTTCAATATCTTTTCCGGAACGGTTTCGCTGCGCTCCGTCGATCCGCCATTCTTCTTCTTTCACGGATGCAATATCGAACAATTTAATAAAAGACTCGTCTTCTGTTTCACCATTTGAATAGCGGACGCGTAACTCCGCTACAAAAGAAACTTCGAAACAAAAAGGGGAGGGGGGGGGGATGGCATCGATGAAACTACTCGCCCTGGGTCGGATATAAACTTTCATATTAAATCCCTCTATCTCTCCAGTTTCTAAAATATTTATCCTCACATCTCTCCAACTTCAAAAATGATTCCGAAATTTTTCCAAAGGTTTCCAAACGTACGTACGTGCGAACGAAAAATGCACTCGTCGCTTGGTAGATTGGTCATGATCGACTTATAGCGCAGCCATATATACGAATATTCATATAACCACCGTTCGACCAATAAAATTTCGATCCTGACAATCTGCCTTAACAAATGGTGAAACGAATAACGGAAAGCCAAAAAGGGCTCGGCACCGTCGTAAATGATAAGGCGCAACGACAGTGACGAATAGGGTTTCGCGAGTAGTAGTTTCGCGAGCTTTCTGCTTCGGTTGCAATCCCGCATCGCGGCAACGTGCTGTCGTCCGCACGGTACAGACCAATTCCGATAGGCGATCCATTATCTTAAGCGGCATCCGCCCAATCGATTCGCGCCTCCTCTCTTTCCAACCAACCTATCGTAAAACCTCCTCCCCCTCCTCCCTCTCCTCCCTCTCCTTCTTCTTTTCCTCCTCCTCCTCTTCATCGTTTTCACTAACCGTTATACTTTTTTTCAATCGGCTTACGAGATATTAACCGCGTCATTTGTTCGAGAATATTCGAATTCTAATCGTTAGAAAGAACGATCGAGAGGAAATTTTTCTTCTCGAAAAAAGATTGTTTTGAGTTTTGAAAATAATGTTGGAAAACGATATTCTATTCTTCATTTTTTTTTTTTAAATTATCCATAATTTATATTTATTTTCCTTTGTTTCTTTTTGTCCAGAAACTTTCCGTTGAATTGTCGTTAGTTAGATGATCGTATTACCGAGTTATGTCAGCTGGCCGTTTGAAACGGCCCTGAAACAGGACACCACCGAGCTCGGGAGTCAGCGAGAGAGAGAGTAAGTTTCCCAATTTGGGAGTATGCCGGTGGTCGTCGTCGAGCCATAAATTAAATTAAAGACGTGGACGACATTCTGCGGAGAGAAAGGTTAGAAAAGTAAAAACTGGTAAAATTCGATTATCCAACTTTCCGTGGGATATCTCTTCTGTTGTTTCTGTTACGAAATGGACGAAAGGAATTGATAAGACGAGCGCGATGAAATATTATTTTGACTATGAATTTGCGAATCTAGATTAGATAGATTCTTGATAGATTAAAATTCAACGTGTTGAGTTTATAATTTGACTCGTATCTTATTTATTTATCCTTTTGCGCTCGAGAGACGAGTCTCTGAGGCGTACAAATATACATATTCGAACAATGTATACTTTTCATATTTGTAAAATATAATCGTTTCGAAGTAATGTATATTATACATTAAAATTTTAAATCCTCTTTTTAAACGTTGTTTACAAATTAAACAAAATATATAAGCAGAGAATTAACTGATCATTTTCTTATATTTCAATAATTGAGAAACGTTTAAATCTCAATTAATATGTAGAGGCATGACGCACAATTATCTATCTTATAATAATGTATTTATATCATTGTTTACTTATTATATTTTGGAGAAATAAGCGATAATAATATTCCCCAACTTTAGTTGACAATTTCTTTATTCCTTTCAACTATTTTTCAATATTTGTATTTTTATCTATTTTTTATATATCGAATATTATATATTTTATTTTTTATTTTATACTAATTAAATACAATGTTAATTTTTCTTACATATTTAGTTACATTTTTACGTTATTTATATATTTTTTAAAAAATAATAAATACTATCATATAAGCTCAAAATCAGAAAAAAATAATTTTCTCCTCAATTAGGCCCTATCGTTCGAATTATATAATAATTTCCTTCCTTACATCTTTATGTTTATTACAAAGCATATAAAATCACTTTGTTACCTAAGCAAGACACGTATGCGCAAAATCATCTCGAGTTGCTTCGCCCGACCAAAAAACTCGTCGAGCGTTATATGTGAACCTTAAGTGTGACTGGATGCGACGTAGCAAGCTTAGAACGGTAGAACAAAGGTATCGACACGACGTCTCATATAACATAATTTATTCCTTTATTAAATATATTCTTTCTTAATTCTAATTCTTTATTTTAATCAAATTTATTTCCCTAATACGACGAAATATTCGACTTTTTCTCCGTCATCGAGTTTTTCTCGTCGAGAATTTTCATCGAAACGAAAAATCTTTTCAGGTTGCGGTAGCATCGCGCCAAAATCCACATGGGGTAAGATCGCAACGACGGGCTACGCCAGTCTCGGCATCCCCTTAACCTTGGTCTATTTATCGAGCGCCGGAGGTCTTTTATCCAGGTGCGCGAGAGGTGTGTTCACGCGTGCTCTTTGCTGCTGCCTTTGTTCAAATTGCGGCTATTGTTGCTACGACGAAAGACGGATGGAGGTAAGCGAAATGGAATTTTCAACTTTTCTTTTTCACCGAGAGATTATTCTTGAAAATTATTCGTTTGATAATTTCTTTTGCTTTTGTTAAAAAAAAAAAAAAAAAAGAGAGAAATGATGTTTAAATTACATTGGCGCGGGCACAGGAAAAAGAAAGACGGATGAGAAAGAAAAGGCAGCAAGAGGAGTTGGCGCAGCAGCAACAGCAATTGCAGTTGCAGGAACCGTTTTACGTCCGCGCGAACGCGTCAACTTTCACGAGCACAGTGGAGATGAAGAGCAGCCCGAAGGACGAGGTGTCGAGCCTCGGTTCTGGCGACAGGCCCAACGTTACTATACTCGCGCCGATCAGCATTTGCCTTGGTGCGATGCTTTGCTACATCGTAGCGGGCGCGTTTACTCTGCACAAGTTAGACGGCTGGTCCTTTGTGGGTACGTGCTGAAACAAATTTCTCTATCCAACCCGTGTTCGTATTTCACTCGTGACGAAAAGATCTTTCTCATTTTTCCACCGTAACCCTTTCGTTACTGACATATTACATATTATATATAGACCGACTAAAGTCGCCTCTACATAAAATGCCTCCACATACTATAGGCGACTATAGGCGACTATAGTCTACTCTGCATAAGATGCCGCGTATTGTACACATGACGAACGATTGGAGTTACTGTACATCGAGTATTTTTTTCTGAAAACGTAGCATCGGTATTTTCTTTTTGTCACTTGTTTCTCACGAGATTGCTCGATAATAAAAATTACCAAAAAATAAAAAAATGCTACTGACGATTTTTTTCTCGAGTGTTGCGCGCATTTTTGCTCCCGTCGGATGAGAAATCGTAGCGAAAGGGTTAATTACAGCGTAGAAATCGTAGAAATTTTCTTATCCTGCTGACCACGGTGAGCATAGAGGACGAAATCGAATTTGAAACTCGTAACGATACAGATTGAATCGATACGACGATGGTAGCATATTGCGTCGCGACTAAAATTTGGCGTTTCGTGTTTAGATGCGAGTTACTTCTGCTTCATGAGCCTGAGCACGATCGGGTTCGGTGATATGGTTCCCGGTTCCTATCCCCGCCACACCCTTTACGAATCGAGGAACGTGACCATTTGGTTCTGCTCCTTCTACATAATGTCTGGGATGGCGCTTACGGCGATGTGCTTCAACATTCTCCACGACGAGATCGTTCACAGGCTTAGCCATCAGACGGAGAAACAGGAAACGGTGAAGGCAAGCCCGAGCGTGGACGAGCTCTCCACCGATCCCCTCACCCTTACCTCGTGACAATTTCCGTCTGGCAACTTGTGCCACAGGAACGGCACCGACGAAAACGATATATGCGGAACGGAACCACCGACCAGTTTGTTCGCCCACGAGAACGAGATCAATATCCTCAAGGACACTTTTAATCAGGTGGACGTAACTAGGGACTGCAAGCCGATTTTGAAACTCGAGGATCACGTCCCGCCGATTCCTGGTGTTTACATGTTGCCAAAGGTCGACGAGGAGACCGAGGAAAACACAGAAATGTGAAACGAAATTTTTCTCTTCGTCTCTCGGACGAGCGGATCTTTTCTTGATAAGAAGTAACCAAAGTAAACCTGTCCAACAGGTTTGTTCCAAAGAACCAACACGTTTTGCGTTTCCAGTTGGGAAACGCGAACGTGTTTCGAATCGATAGCTACTCTTCATACATCGTACATATATATATATATATATTATAAATAGAAAATTAATCATCGCAGTGAGATAGTGTACGCTTCGACGAATCGTGGACGAAATTGTGGACGAAAAAATATTTTTTGATTCGATTCACGATTAACAATAATTGATTTTTAAAAAATCGACGAATTTTATGTGATTTTATATATTTTTTCTTTTCTTTTTTTCTTTTTCTTTTTTTTTTTTTTTCTGTGAACAAGAACCTATGGGAATTCTTCGGGATCTAAAAACGAGTTTCGTATAAATATATTCGTTCGAAGAATAGATGGTATCGTTTAGCGATCGATGGACTGTCTTCGCGTAGAGAAGTTACCGACAGATCTAACCGATGCAAACAAGTATTTATGCGTACGAGGTACGACATAAATGAGACATACTTTCGTCGTATGCGAGGGATGCATCAACTTCAAAGAAAGTACGCTACTATGTTCCGTTGGAACGTCGTTTCCAATACATTAACGAAACGAATAAATATTTTATATTATGTTTGAAACAAATGTTCAAATTAAAATTATATATGTTTATTTCTTTATTTTCTACTAGTAAATATACACACACACACATATATTATTTCTAATATTGTCAATTATAAAAATCAATATTGGATCGAAATATGGACCGTTATTAAATTTTACTCGATTTAATAAACAAATCGAATGAAATAATGATAAATAAACACGGTCCAACTCCATATCACGTTAATAAAGCCGGTAATTACATTACCGGCAAGTTCTAAATAAGATTTTCCTTCTAAGATGTGTCTCCTAAATGTTCTACGAAGTTTCTAAACTTCCTGTAGATGTTTCTACGTTAATCCTGGTTTACTTTTGATGAACATTTGTTTCCGTGTTAATAAAGTATGAAATTCGTGTTTTCGTCTAAACAGGAAGGAATTTGAATATATACATATATATATTTTAATTTTTTAATTTAATTTGTTTAATGAAAAAAGCAATATGGCGATCAGAAATATATTCTTTCTTGTTTTGAAATTTATTTTATACGATTTGGAAACGGCGTTCTAACTCGTTACGAGATCAACTCGATATTTCTATGCCTATTTAGATAGAAATTCGTGACAGTTTTTATATTTCTGCATATAATAAACGCTCGAGAGATGAACACATTCTTGTCCATAATGTAATCGAGTGGATTATTGCGTCTAGTCGTATTAAATGGAATATGTATTGTAAATCATCGTGATGAATCGTTTTGAAACGCGTAATAACACTGCCAAAAAATAAAATTATATCGCCCACAAAAATTAACGTAACGTTTTTTAGAAAAAAATTGATAAGCTTTAACATATAAGTATTTCAATATACATTTTGTAACAAATGAATTTTTCTAACCATAGAATTTTTTTAATATAAACTTTATACTGTATCTGTTTCTTATTGTCCGATTCTTCATTACTCTTTTAATGATAATATTTTGTAACTTCTTCAGAATTAATTATTCTTGATATACAATATGCTACCCATTGACTAGACGCAGAAATCATGAACAAAAAATCATATTTGAATTCTGTGCTCAAGAACAATAACTAAAATACTGTTACGATTAGACACTAATCTTTAAGAGTGTTGCATATAAAACTACTCACATTGTTTAATATCGATATTCGTGATAGGATACGAGATTATGGAGTGCGTAATGTATAGCTGTAAATTAGCTGTAAAATATTATTTTTGTCGGGTATACAGAGCAGATTTTCTAAAACACAACAAGTTTATATTGCTCTCTTTTGCACAACGTTAAATATCAACCGCGTTTCAAAACTTTTTGCGTCAAAATATTGAATCTCTCTCGACGAATAAATATTCACACATCACATACTCATTCTTTTGTAAATTGTATACTTTGTTTAAATCAAATCGAATACAACGTAGATATGCATATTTAACAAAACTTATTATTATATTGTAAAGAAACAGTATAAAAAAAAAAAAATTAAATCAATCAAACCATCTGCTCTGTACAAACGACAAAAGAACCGCGTGCAGTAGCGACCTAAACAAGTGTTTTTTCCGTTTCTTGTAACATATCATAAGATGTAAGTACGTTAAAACTTCCTTGTACTGCTGAAAAAATAAGAAATGAGAGAATTAAAACGATCGACGAACGAACGATATATATATACATATATATATCTTGGAAATACGAGTGTTAAATCGTATGTGAGTTCTGGTTGTGCATTCGAATTCCAAGCGAATTTCGTTAGGTGTCTAATGACAATCGATATCGGCTTGACCAGTTACTAGAATTATCGTTATCACTCTATCGGTGATGTCGATAGAGGATGGTGGCCAGTAGCCAAAACAAAGTTTACTTTAACGTTTGCACCGGCCCATACACCCATCGATCCAACCTGGCTGGCTGACCGAGCAAACTTCCTCGCACTACTCGTTCCATTCATTTTGAAAAGGCACACGCGTTTCTCCAAGCTGACGCTTGGACAATTTGTTGCGGAAAACCACTTGTAACTTTCCTTCGATTCACCGTTCACTTTGGATATATTGTCGAACCGATTTTTACGATTTTTATTTAGAATTTTATTTTAGAAGAAGAACAATTTTTCGATTAGATAAAAATTTTTTTTCCCTTGACGATAAAACGTGTAACGATAAAATAACGAGACTTTGGCGAATAAATATTCGAAGTGAAAATCGAAGATACGTTCCAAGCAAGAATTTACAGACCAATGTGCCCATTTATATAGATCATACAAAATTTGATGCCAGAATGTAAGGATAAGAATTCGAGTTACTTTTTACGATTCTGCCTAGAAAAGTATTACGATTATTTCCCGCTTTTCTGAAATTTTATTTCTGAATTGAAAGATAAACAAAGTATATACGTTTCTTTGTTTGGTAAAATACAAAATGTTTGACGAGTTAATGCCCGTAAAGAGAAAAATGCCGTTTATTCCGTGCAAAGAACTTCAATGCGAATTCCCATTAGAGAAATCCTCCATTTTTTCTATTTCATAAGGATTTCCCTTTTTTTTTTTTTTTTTTTGCGTATCTTATGATTTCACACCCTTGCGTTCTGGTTTCTTTCCTCGTTCCTCAGGGAAATATGACTGAATTCAAAGCACTCGTCGACCACTATGAAACTTTAGCATGACAATTTCGCGAAAAAAGAAAAGTAAAAAAAAACGGATTTTTGATTAATAAGCCTATTATATTCGAGAAAAAGGAAAGTTAAAAAAAGGGGAAAGATTGAATCCTCCATATTCGTATCTTTAATATTTTCATTTGTTATTTGAGTATTGTTCGATACACACAGTGATCGTAATTCTAAAAACCGAGATATAATAATCAGCCCCGATAATCAGACGAATTCGAGTTTCAAAGCTTTTGTAGATGTTCATCGTTGTTGTTCAATTCGATTTATCGTCAAATTTAACAATGATATTGTCAATGAGCATAAAGTCAATTATATTGCAAAATATTCTCAAATTAATAATAAACGAGTTTATATCATAAAACGGATTCTCGAAGCTTTTCTAGAATTAAATTTACAGATTTATTGTACGAATAAATAGAAGAAATTTATACGAGAAGCATTATAATCAAAGTAAAGAACGACAAATATCGATTTTCCTTTTCTCTATAATGATCACGTGTCCACTCGCGTATACACTTATTTCACTATTTTCCGTTCACTGAATTTCAAAAGACACCAAATAATACAGCAAATAAACTGGTTCGTCGATTGCTCAAACTAGAGAATTATTAACTAAACTAGTTTAAATGAAAATTAAGACAAAGAGAAGTAGTAATCAAAAAGAAAAAGAAAGAAAGAAAAAGAAAGATGGAAAATGATTTTACCCTGATTCAATATTCGCGTTTAACGAATCGGTGGGATTTGCTTCTGCCGTCCTTCCGTAATAACAGCGAATCCTGCACAAAATTGCAACCTGATGTAATTCGAACGATGTAACTCGACGTGATTTTTACGAGTCCAACTAATTGTTCGAAAATATCGAATTTAATATTCAACAATGACAATGGTCATCAGAAAATCGGGAATTAAAAATTTGTCGCTATAATAAACATCAAGATCCATAAGAACAGCGTCGTTGATAAACTTTTCTATGTTACCCTTGTACATAATATTAAACGTTGTACGATATTAATATTGAAAGAAAAAAAAAAAAAAAAGTTAACGTTTAATGTTAGAAAAGTATTATTAAAACATTAGAATTTCTATTTTCACTCTCAATCGATTTTGTCCAAATAAAAATTTCACATCTTTAAGCGTGAATTGCAATTCAAATCGTGAGATGAGAAATATCAGATATTCATTCAAAACTTTTCGTATACAACAATCATGGTATCCTAACGCTCTGAGAGAAAAAAAAATAGATATGTGCTCCTTCTAGCAGTTTTGTATAGCAATCCGTTTTACAAATGTATATCTTTGTACAGAAATAGTCCGATAATTTTTATTGGAAAAAAAAAATTAAAATGGGGAACTTTGTTAATTTTCTGCCTTTATTATTTATTTTAATGAATATCATATATATATATATAGATGCTCATTTTGTAATAAGAAATTTTATTCATTTAACAAATTGATGACAAATTAATGGCGGATAATTAATATCAATTTGACGAATAAATAAAATTTCTAATATATAGAGTCGAAACGAAAAGCTGTTTTATTTCTTTTCCTTGTTTTACATTTGTTAAATTTGTAGTTATAATTTATATGAAAGAATTGTAAAGAATGAAATTTTGTGAAAGAATTTGATCAATGTATATGAAACAATCAAACTCTTGGAAGAGGCAGAAACATCAATAAACTAATTAACTAATCAAACTTAAATTTATTATTTGAATTTTAAATTTATTTTTTAATTTGACCCTTTATTTGATTTTAAAACGAAAATCTTTACATTTCTATTACTACAAAAAGAAAAAAAGATACCAATTTTATTGAATTATACATAAATATAATTTTTTAAATATATATTAAGTATATTACTATATTATACTTAAATTTCATTATTTTAAGAAACAAAATGATATGATAGTAAAAATAATAATATTTGACATTCTTTTTTTAGTTTGTACGATAAATTGTTTTCCATGTTTATTAAATTTATAATAGTTTAAACATGAATAAAAATAATTAACATACTTTATATATCAAAAATAAATTTTGTACTATATTCGTAACAATAATTAATTTGTATATTTTTTACGTTGTCTCATATTTTAATTCTTCTTTTCCAATTATTTCTTTCGATTGCTTGTAATGTAATTTTTTTTAATTTTTTAAAAAGTATATATATATATATATATATATATATATATATATATATATNGATAAAAATGAAAGATGAAAAACTTATATGAAAAAATCAATAGAAACGAATAAAAAAAGAAAAAACAAAAAGAAAGAAAAAACAAAATTTCAAAAATATCATAAATTTATAATTTAAATTTGTCATGTAATAATATGTAATAAATATACGAATCAATTATTATTTTGTAAATATTTAAAAAGAACATTATGGAAGTGCACGTTATTATAAAATACATGGAGAAATTGCTAGATATTGTACATCTATAATCATTTGTCGGAGAATGTATCTTATATTATCAAATAATAAAATAGAAAAGATTTATCAAAATTTTAATTTTCTTTTTTAAACTAATTTGATTTTTTCTTCGTAAAAATATAACTTTTTCTCATCTGATATATTCATTTGTCTAAAATATGCGATAGAATTTAAATAAATAACTTGTTAATTGTAAAATTAAAAAACAAAAATATTTATTAAATTAATTTATAAATTATATTTTTAAAAAAAAATAATTTTTAATTATTTTTTAACAAGATAAATAACAAAAAAATTAAATAAATAATCTTTTAAATTTATATTAATGACTAACATTAATAAAAAAAAAACCTTTCTATAAAATTTTCAAAAAAAATCTAAAAGTATTCAAAAATTTATTATTTATTTTTTTAAAGTTTTTTATTCTTTCTTATTTTGTTTTCAATAATTATTATATAAATTATTTAACAAAAAATCATTAATAATTCAATAATAAAATAGAATAAAAATGTATATATATAAAATATTGAATTTTCACTAATGTCAAATTTACCGCTTTTTCATAAAAATCTATGATGGCGTCTGCAAATTTATATATTGCAAATTTTCTTTTAAAATTGTCATGCAATAACTTATATATATAAAATTAAAGTTAAAATTCAAAATATACATACAAAATATATAGAACGAGAAACGATTATATAAATAAATAAATCATATAAAAATTTATAACATGAATTGTATAACTTAATAATAAATTTATAACATATATAATTCTAACCATTAATTAAATAAAGAAAAAATACTAATTGTTAAGAAAGAAGTATAAATTATAATATTCAATAAATTATTAAATAACAATATATTAATTAGATAAAAATATTTATACAAACAATTAAAAAATATCTATAAAGATATCACATAATAAATAGATCACACACCTCGAAGAAAACTACGTCTAATCACTACAGCTGTCACTAGCACAATGATTTCCCGCGCTCCGATTCGTCAATTGAATCACAAAGAGAGGGGATTTGCCCGGCAACAAGTCTGAACGTATCAAGTGTAATATAAATTTCGTGGAAAGGTAATATTATAAGAAACATTTTTAATCTTAATTAAAAACAAATATAAAAATAATACATAAGTTAAACACACAAATAAATACATTTAAATAATAATAGTTAATAATGTTAATAATAGTTAATAATAATTAATAATATAGGTTATTGTACATGAAATAAAATTGATTATTTATTTTATAAATAAAATTAATTTTTAAATTTTAACTCCAATTAATATTTTAATCAAATTTGAAATTATAAAATATTTATTATAAATTATGAGATATTTTGTTATGTATTTTTATTCATGATTTGACATTAAAATTTCTTCATTCTAAATCTAATATTAATGTTACAATCTTATTCTATACTGAATCGGTAACGTTGCGAATGACATTAAAATGATAAAGGGATTCTAAGTCCTTATAAGCCCTCTAAGAAATGAAACGCAAAATATATTAAATTATTTTACATTATATATATCCTCTGATTAATCTCTATTTATATTTTTATAAATTTAATTTAATTTACCATACAAAAAAAAATTAATTATTTTCTGTTTTTAACATAAATTAAAATAATTATAGAATAATAATAAAAATAAATAAGAATCTTAAAAAGTCATCTTTAATTTAATAATAAAAGTATTTTATAATATTAATAATTGATAATATTTTCAATATTTTTATAAGTATTTTATTATCTTTTAAATAATATCTTAAATTACTTATCGATAGCAAGAAATGCCTTGATCTGTAATATTTGCAAAATATCCAACAGAGAGCGTAAATGTTTGATCAGACCGGCGCATAGGAAAGACGGAAGAACATATGTTTAAGCAGTAACGCATGCGCAATCACTGCTTCCGCGACGTACCTAGCCATCTTTCCAGTCAAGCAAAAGTGATTGTTTTCAGCTTTAGTCTTATTTAACGGAACTTTTATTAATGTCAGAGCCACAGTCCGCGCTTCTACTACGAAAACAATTAGCAGGTATCCAGCAAAAGCAGTTTAAGTGCTAAGTGTGATCCGTGTCTTAAATTCGAGCTCAACGAAAAGCCGGAACCGTTCTCGTACTCTAAACTCGTGCGATCTCGTCATCGTTGTGTTCCGACCCTCGAGAATGGCTTTGTGAACATTTTTTCTGCTGATATCTCAGTTTCTCAAAACTTCTGTAATCTTATGTGAGCACCAATTGAGCCTTCCGTAATCTCTCTGATGGCCCTGCGCCTGATTAGGGCGTGAAAATCAATACGGCTACGGAACCGTAGTGTGCCTCCCATGAATAAGTTTAACCTAGCATTTAATATTGAGTTCGCTTATAATCCTAGCTGAGTCCAATTTAAATTGTCTTGTGAATAATTTTCATGCACAGCGAAGGCCGTTTTCGCTGTTACCGAAAATAATTGCAGGCAACGTTATTTATAGCATTTCGCGCGTCACCGAATACAACGCGGTTTAGACTAAAAAAAAGATAGAGAAAACCATGCCGTGCAACGACCACTGAAGGTCAATCTTCTTCGAACCATAACTTCTGTATTACTTCTGACGCCACAATGAAACATTGAAATGTTTTAAAATTTATTTTTATAATTTATTGCGCTTTGTTTTTCATCCAAGCTTTGTGATTGAATTTTGTATGAAATATCATGTCACTTTTGAGTTATTAATTCATAGCTATTTGACGGTTATTTAATATGTTTCAATTTGACCTAACCTATACACGTTGAAAAACAAAAGCATTTTTTTTCACTTTATTGAACTAATATATGATTTTATGTTAATAGTTTTCTTTTCATGTTATTTCATTCTTATTAATCAAAATATGATGAATCATATATATATTTTTAAACGGTTCTGTGCTTTTTCATTCGAGCATATTCTAAATATTGATATTATTTTTTATATTTTTGTATTTTATGTAATTATAATTATATATTTATTTAAATTTGATATGAAAATAATTTAAAATATATATTTGAAGTATATATTTGAAATATATATCATTAACAAATAATATTTCTAAAGCTCATTTGCTATAAGAAATTATATAAAAAAATTTCATTTAAATTTTCTTTTTTTTCTATAGAATTAAATAAAAACCCAGTAGAAGGGTTTTCAGCAGGCCTCATAGATGACAATGACATATATCAGTGGGAAGTGCTCATTATTGGACCTCCAGATACATTATAGTAAGTAAATCATATTGTTTTGTTTGTTATATAATATTTTATATATATATATAATATCATTACTTGTTATACATATTTCTATAAATACTTTTTGCATTTTAGTGAAGGTGGGTTTTTCAAAGCACACTTACAGTTTCCAAAAGAGTATCCACTTAGGCCACCAAGAATGAAATTTATAACAGAAATATGGCATCCAAACAGTAAGTCTTCTTAAAAACTTTTATATGTATATATATGTATATATATATACATATATATATATGGAAAATATATATATATATATGGAAAATTATGGCAATATGTCATATTTGTAGTCGAGAAGAATGGCAATGTATGCATATCGATTTTGCACGAACCTGGAGATGATAAATGGGGTTATGAAAAAGCATCAGAACGGTGGTTACCAGTTCACACAGTTGAGACTATCTTGATAAGTGTTATTAGTATGCTCGCAGATCCTAATGATGAAAGTCCTGCTAATGTGGATGCTGCCGTAAATAATATTCTATCTTATAAATATTTATATTATTTATGTATTGTATAATTATTTATTTTTTTAATCTTAATTGATATATTATAGAAAGAGTGGAGGGAAAGTTATGCAGAATTCAAAAGAAAGGTGGCGAGGTGTGTCAGAAAAAGCCAAGAGGAGTGTTTGTAGGAGATGAACAATTATTCAAATGGAAAGACTTATTTAATTCCGGTATGTTTTATGCAATATGTTTTGCAATAATTATGTAAATAATTTTAATGATATATTTAGATAAATTTTCTCTTTATATCTCTATAGGGAAGCCGTAAGCACTGTAAGAAAGAAACCGATGCTCAGCATTAAGCTAATGGATAACAGTGCCACTAAAAACGGATATAGCCTGACCCATTCTTAAGCAGAAAAAGGGAGGCAGAGTATGTGTGACAATAAAAGATAAAATCACACATCTCTATGAAGTTTATACCACCGCCACTGACGTACCATCCATTGATACGAAGAACATAAGGGAAATACATGCAGCTCACCTTTTACATAATAAACAACTAAAAAACTAATTTACACATATACATAATACAAAAAAAATTATCTGTACGATTATTATCTTAATATTGATAGTTATAAACTTAACTTCCCTGTTCCTCCTGCTCAAGAGTTAGCCCTCACCCTTTACACCTAAAAGCCTGTAATTTAAAATGTTTACGTTTATTATTGAATAATAATTCCTTAGTGGCGTTTCGTATTTTCTTACTTTCGTAAATATACATAAATAAATTTTTGTAAAGTCAAATACACGGTATATATATGCTACAGTCGTTAAATGTAATGCCAGTAAAAAATGGAAACGAAATATATGTGAATCAATTGTGACACTGCGGCAAACATAATGTCGATATTAAACTGTACAATCGCGGCTATGTAAAGAGATGAAATTTCCGTTGAACCGTAAGTTGCCAAAATAACGAATTCTAATTAAAGTGATAATAATGCTAATAATAATATTATTATTAGATATAATATCATTAATTACAAATAGTAAACTTAACGTAAAAATTTCGTACATAACTACAAAAACTTTGTACGCATTTTAACCAGTGCCAGTTTTTGAAGTGATTATTAAAAAAAAATTCTATCTTTTTAATTATATTTAAACTTGCGGTTCGAAGTCATAGATACATTCAAATTTTTTATCCGACTACATATAATTTCATACTGTCAATTAAATTCTACAATATGGAAAACGTCTATTACATTGAACCTGTATTCTATTTATGTTATTTAGTACGAAAAGAATTTTTTTTTTTTATTACTTATTAATGAAACAAATTAATTCTTTTTTTATACTGTGATTAATTATCTGCCGATATAATAAATAATATCTTATTTTAAATGAATTAGAAGATAAGATTTTAAATGAAATTATTTTAATTTTATAGATTATCCTTTTTTTTATAAATCATTTTTTGTTCGTTTTTTTTTTAAATTGATTTATAATTGCGTTTAATACATTATATATTGTTCTTTATATATTGTTTTTACATATTAGTGCTTGGTATATTGGGTTTTAGGTATCAAAAAATTGATAAATATTTATATGTATTGTATACTTAAACAGTAAAGTAATGAATTTTATAATTTTAATGATAAAAATAACTGATATAGAATATAAATATATTAAAATTATTCAATTATACATTTTTTTTAATAATATAAATTTATTCAATATTATTCAATTGTTAGAAAACCGTTAATATATCTAATATTTGATTTCGATGTGCACATATTTACATGTACACAATATTTATTGAAAAAAGGTTAATTCGAATGATTGAAAATAATTCATCAATAAAATATGTAATTACAATAAAATTTTTAATTTAGATTTATATAATAAAAAATTGAAATTATTATGGTAAAAAATTGATAAAAACATGTACTAAAATAATATATTGTCTGTGATAATATTAAAATATATTGAATTTAATTGGAAACAGAAATCTATAGGAAATGTTTATAAATTAAATTTAACAATGCAACATAAAGAATTCAAATTTTCTTTTACTGTGCACAGTTCAGAAGTTTGTCTCCAAGGCGGATAAGGACAAGAAAAGTTTTCCCCTCCTTTAATCACTAACACACAGTCCTATACAATTTTATTTGTAGATGTGACACTTTAAACTATTGTGTGTGCTTATTTGTGCGATTTTGTTGGCTCTATAAGAAATAACCAATCAGACTGATATTCCTTCTAGGAATTAAATTTCTAAACTCTGTATTGTATACAGTAACCATGCTTTAGGTTCTTATGATGTTTTTCGAAGTTCTAGTTTCATGTTTTTGTTTACATTATGAGTTACATGTGTATAATAACAAGTACAATAATAATAATTTAACGTCGTATTTTCATATAATTCTTAAAAATATATAAAAATAAATATTTAGATTTAAGTTAAAATTATTACATAAACTTAAAATATTATTTTATAAAAAAAATTAAACAATAATGTTATGATTAATATTATTTATGTTTTATTTCTGTTTAATTTTATTTTTTTCTATTAAAAAATTTGACATAACACATTTTTTTTGGTTTCTATTAAACCAAGTAATTTATAATTATGAATGATGAACAAATTGTTTTAACATTACCTCCTACTCAAGATGCAGAATCAATATGTTTTACTCAATCACAAGAATTATTACAAGAAAAACCTATGATTGTATGGGGTAGACTATGTCCAAGTAAATTACCTTTTAGAACAATGGGTATGAATATATATTTTTCATTATTAATTATTTATTAATAATTTAGTATTGTGCATTATATTATATGTTTCTTATGTTATTAATTTGAATTTATAAAAATAATTTACTAAAATATTGATATAAAAATAATTAATAAAAATATTAAATAAAAATAATTATTTTTATAGAAATGACTAAAGATGTATATACACTTGGTCGCTCACAAAACTGTGATATTTGTATAACTAATAATGAATTAAAACCAAAGTGGCTTAGTGTAATGAGTAAGATACATTTCAAGATAACTAGAGAATTTATTGATGATAATACCAATGATGCCATAGTATATTTAGAAGACTTAAGCCAAAATGGAACTTTTGTTAATGGAAAAAAAGTAGGACGTGGGAATAAAGTAATTCTTGAAAGCAATGACAAAATAGCTTTAGCACAACCTATAGTTATTGGTAAATATTTCATATTTTATATAAATATATATAAAATATATGAAAATATAAATTTTCTACATAAGCTTTATGTTTTATTTATAATATTATAACAGTTTATGTCTTCATGAGTACAACAGCTTTTGAAAGTAATAATTTACCACCTGAACTCAAAAGTAAATATACAGTATCACGTAAATTAGGATCTGGAGCATGTGGAGAGGTGAAAATGATATTTAATAAAGTTGGTTGTAAAAAATTTGCCTTGAAAACTATTATGAAATTAGGTAGTACAACAAATGGACAAAAACATCCGTTAAATGATCCTGAAAAAATTATGAATGAAGTTAAAATTTTGAAAGCTCTAAAACATGTAAGTTAATATATCAATTAATTTTAAAAATTAAAACAATTTAAAAATTATTATTGTATAATATATTAATATATTTTCTATTCTTTAGCCTTGTATAATTCGAATGGAAGAAATTGTGGATACCCCGAAAGCAGTATATATAGTTTTAGAATTAATGGAAGGTGGTGAACTTTTCGAAAGAATAAAAAATAGAGGAAGATTATCAGAAAAACATGCAAAATTAATCTTTTATCAGGTTGTATTAGCTGTTAGTTACCTTCATGACTGTGGTATAACTCATAGAGATTTAAAGGTATTTATACTTTTTAAATATTTTTGATATTTAATTCATAAAGTATTTAATTCATAATATAAATTATAAATGAATATTATTTTTATATTAATAGCCAGAAAATATATTATTAGCTAGTAATTCAGATATTACATTAGCAAAAGTATCAGATTTTGGTTTATCAAAATTAGTTGATGCTCAAACTATGATGAAAACATTTTGTGGAACTCCTATGTATGTTGCACCTGAAATATTATCTACTATTGGACGAGGTTCTTATACAAATCAAGTATGTTTACCTGCATAAAAATATATATAGTAAATATAAAATAAATTTATATACTATTCATATTTATCAGGTTGATGTATGGAGTTTGGGAGTAATATTATATGCTTGTTTAAGTGGTTCAGTTCCTTTTAATTGTCAAGATAAAAATATTAGTTTACAAGATCAAATAAAAAAAGGACAATATAGCTTTCCTTCTTCAAAATTTGGACATATAACAAGTAAAGCTATAGATTTGGTACAGTATTATCTAATAAAATGTTATTGAAGTAGATTATATAAATAAAAATATTTGTATTTTCTAATAATATGATATTTTAGATCAAACGAATGATGACAGTTAATCCAAAGAAAAGGATTACAATCAAACAAGTTTTGTTACATCCTTGGTTACAAGACCGTGAACTTCGAGAAAGTATTGACATGATATTATCAAAAGAAAATGATGAAAATATACCACCTGAAAGTATTTCTTCTAATATTCAATGTAAAAATGAACAATATCAAAATTTGATCAAAAGAGCAAGATTAGAAATATAGTTAATAATATATAACTTAGGTAATATATAAATACTTTTTTAAAATTGTTTATTAAATTTATTTCCAAATAATTTATAAAATTATTTTGTTTATTAAAATTATTTATATTAGAATGAAAAAGTTTTGCATTACATACATTTTGATCTAATATTATTTTGAAAATCATTGAAATCTATTTATTACAAATTAAATATTTATAATGTAAATCGATTAATTAAATAATGTTCATTAGATTAATCAGTCTAAGTTTAGACATATCATAAATGATTCAATCTAATTATTCATTGAGTTAACAAGAGACAAATTAAAGTAATAATACTTTAAATTAATTATTTCATTTTATTTTAATAGTATCATTTCAATAATTATTGAATTCTAATCTATTATGAATCTGTTGTAAATGAAACATTATTAATATAAACTAAATAATTCAATATTTAAAATTTTTATAAATTAATATTTAAGTTTATTTAATATTTAAGTTTAAATATATTACAAGAATTCAATTTAATTTTTCATTGAAAGAAATATTAGTTTACAAGATCAAATAAATAATTTTTTCATTAGCAAGGAAAATAAATTAAAATACAATATAAATTAAACATTAAATTAATTTAATCTTCACAAGTATACATATAAGAGTAGTATAAATAAAATTAAAAATATAGAAAACTAAGTAAGTGATATGAAACTATGTAACTGATATGTACAAAATATTTTATATTTTTGTGTGTTGTGTGTTTTGTAATGATTATTAAAAATTCGTTATCTTTATGCCAATTTTTGCTAAAATTTTCGTATATATTAATACAAATAATTTTTTCAATATATCGCGAAAACTAAACTTAATTATTTTTTCATTTCATCAAAAAAAAAAAATAAACTCTTGTATATAATAAGAAAATGCAATTTATATACAATTACAAATCGTATAAAGATGTAATGTTTTATTGATCACGTTTTTTCATTTTTATCTATTCCTCTCTACATGGATACTCTTCTTCGCCTCGACATGGATTTGGAATTGGAGTTTCTATATCTGGTCGTTCTTTTTTAGCAAGTCCCGCTAACAATCGTTTTATTTGAGCTACTGCTTTTCCAGGATTCAAACCCTTTAAAGGATATTTATATAATAATAGAAATAAATTATTAAAAATGATCTAATTTTTTATTTTTTTTAAATTTTATTGAATTATAAACTTAATATTTCATACCTTCGGACAAGTTTTTGTGCAATTAAAAATAGTATGACATCGATATACCGAGTAATAATCACGTAATTTATTAAGTCTTTCTTTGTGCCCCATGTCACGTGAATCTATTATCCACCTATAAGCCTATATGATAAGAAAATTAAAATTAAATTTCAAATTTATTAAAATTTTATTTCTTATTTATAAAATTATTTTTTGTACAAATAATCAAATTTTTTATATATGACATACCTGCAAAAGAGTTGATGGACCTAAAAATTTATCACCGAGCCACCAATACGGTGGACAAGCAAAAGTACAACATCCACATAAGATACACTCGTATAAGCCATTAAGTTTATCTCTATCTCTTGGACTCTGTAGAATTTGCCGTAAACCGACATAATTATCTTCTCCAGTTCGTTTTAAAAATGGTTCAATATTTTTATATTGTTTCAAATATTGTTCCAAATCCGTTACTAAATCTCTAATTACGTATGCGTGTGGTAAAGGATAAATAACTATAGGCTTTGATGATTCTAATGCTTTTCTAAAAAAAAAAAAAAAAAAAAGAAGGAAAAAATAAAATACTATACAATTTTACAATAATAAAAATATTAAATTTTACAATTTTTAAATAACTATAACTCGTACAAGAATAAATAATCGAGCAAAATTAAATCTATAGTATATTTATATCATCATTATGAAACAACAAAAAAAAATATTTTTCCCGCATTACGTGATGCAAGCCAAGTTATTGACACCATTTATATTCATTGCACAACATCCACAAATTCCCTCACGACAGGATTTTCGATAGGATAACGTGGGATCATATTCTGCTTTTATTAATGCCAATACATCTAATACCATTGTACCATTGCATTTATTTAAATCCACACTAAATTGTTGCATATATGGTTTTACATTTGGCTTTTCTGGATTCCAACGATATACCCGAATAGTTTGTAATCTTGGTTTTATATCTATTTTTCGTTCCTAAAAATTAATCAAACCAAGTCATTTATATTACTTATATTTATTTTTTAAAATTGTTAAAACAATTTATATCTAATATTATATTAAATTTAATGTATTATATATATATCAATATATACATATAAATAATATAACTTATATAATTTTATCATTTTTAAAAATAAAATATTACAACTGAATTTATATAGAATCGATAAGATGAAAAGAAAGACGAAATATATTATAACATATAAGGAAACGAAGAAAGCTTTTGATAATAAGTATAAGTTTCTTTAATATAACTGTAACATTTATGGCTGCTAACTTCTGGAGGTGTTTTGCATTCTTTCACAATAGCAATTTCGGTGGTCACAAGTTTATCTTCCTCAGATGGTGGCTTTTCTGCCTTTTTTGTACTGGACAGAAATCTATGGCTTCGAAAACGGTTATTTTGACATTTGTATCGACGAAGAGATGCAATTGTACAAGACCAAAATTGGCTCGCATGACTGATAGTGTTAAAGTTGAACATAATTCTAAAAGTTTTATGAGAAACCTTTTATAAGTGCCACCTGAGATTCTATAAAGGCATATTTCGTTTTTCTAATCTTTCGATCATTTTGTTTTATAGTGACTGTATAATTCTTAGATAAAAGAGAAACAAAATATCATCATTTGAAATAACTTCATAGTTATTCTCAGTAATTTTTTCTTAAAAATGAAAATATTGTAATGTATAATTTATATGCTAATATATGTTTGATGAGAAAATAAATAATAATATGTTTTGAGAATAATAATGTTTTAATTTATGATTAAATAAACATATGTGTAAAAATGTATGTATATAAGTATACAATCATAATTCGTAATTATTTGTTAAAACAAATGATAACATTTTAGTACATACTATCCTAAAAATAAAAATATTTCTATTCCTTATTATTAATTTCATTCGTTCCAAAAATTTGATATGGATTTTTTTAATATAGAAATTTGACGTTAATATTTGTTGATTTTACAATAATAACCGATTTTTAATTACAATAATAACAATATTTCATATTTATCTTTCTTTTTAAAAAATTTATAATTTATTTCTCTTTGTTCAATATATATTTATATATTTAAATTTTTTTTTAAATTTAAAATAAAGATTTTTATCAGAAAACATAAAAAAAAAAAGAAAAAAAATTAATAACAATTTATATTTTTTTAAATAAATAATTCATTGTTATGAAATTGTTGAATATTAATTACAAATATTTTTTTTGTATATATAGATTTTAACATTGATTTAACTATATAATTATTACTAATAATAAGAAAAACAAAGATTTTCAAATTAGATTAAAATAAAAATATGTCTTAGAAAATAACAAATATTATTTTATTAAAAATATTATTTATACATTTATCTATATTTATATTTAAAAGTAACAAATAATTATTATATTTCACTTTTTAAAACAATAAATAAACACTAGTTTCAGTTTGTTATTCATATTATTGAACTTGATATTTATTTCACAACTCACAATACAACGTATTTTAAATATCTTGATTTATTTTAAGAGGTCAGAAGTTATCATTCACAAATATATAATTATAATGGATTAACCCCCGCGAAGAATCAATGTTCTTCTTGCAAATCAAATTATTCCGATAAATATTACTGATTTTAGAAATATATATATAAATTTAGAAATATATATAAGTAATAAACGTTAAGTTCATTACCACCTGTTGCTTCAATGTATATAATTTAAATACTACGAATTAGAATAGACGAATTAGAACGATTTACAATTTTAATTTACGTACATATTGTTTTAAGAAAGTGAAAAAAAAGTAAGTATTTATAAAGTAAGTGACATATATTAAATATATTAAACGGAGGTTATAATTTTATGTATTATATAAAATTATATAAAATATTTCATAATATCAAGATATTATTAACAGAACTTATATAATAATATACAATGAACATTTGATAATTTTATGAATATTTTATTTTTATATAATATTATTTTATTTTAATACAAATATATTTAATTTTATACAATATAATGAATATATAATATGAGTATATGTATATAATGTATTTAAATAATAATATTTATAAAATTTTATAAATAATACTATTATTATAATATATAAACTATAATTTTATTATATATATAAAATATTTTTTATATTTCATAATAATTAATATTAAATTTAATATTTTTAGTATGCAGTATAATGTTTTGATTATTGGTGGTGGTGGTAGAGAACATGCTATTGCTTGGAAACTTTCACAATCTCCTCAAGTAAATATTTGTTATATTAATATGCAAAATTTTATAATAACAATATAATTTACAATAAATAATTTATATAATATTTTATTTTTAAATAATATATAATATTATATTTATAATTATAAATAATAAAAATAATAAATTATAATTATTTTTTCAGGTAAATAAAATTTATGTCTCTCCTGGGAATTATGGGCTTTCATTAGTTAATAAAGTTTCTTTAATAAATCTAAATGTTAAGAACAATAAGGTATATTTGATACTATTTTGTATTATTGTATTATTAGGAGTGAATTAAATAAAATCATGTTTTTTATTACATAAAAAGTTTTATTACATAAACTTTTTATCATATAGGAAGTAGCAGAATGGAGCAAAAATAATAAAATAAGTTTAGTAGTTATTGGACCAGAAGAATATTTAGCTAATGGATTAGCAGATGAATTAAAAACTGTAGAAATTAATTGTTTTGGTCCACAAAAAGCAGCATCTAAAATTGAAACTGATAAATATTGGGCAA